GAGAGAGAGAGAGAGAAGGTGAGAAAGCAAACCACCAGGTCCAGGATTTGAACCGTGGTCAGCCATGTGGGAGCATCCAGCACCTTAACCACCACACCACCCACTGGTCCCATGGCAGCCATTACTTCTACAGTTAATAGCACTGTCACCAGCAGGGCCTCCCGAGCCCTCCTCCTCCCTCACCCCTCAGTCCTGGGGACTCTTCCTTACCAATGTCTATCTCTTGGAGGGTGTACCAGGGACTGAGCCCCCACCCCACTTTTAGCCTCTCCAGCTCCAGCTTTCCATCCTCCCTGACTCAGGCCTGTCCTCTCCACAGCCACCAGGGGGCGCTCTCTAATGAAGCACCAGAGCTTCCAGGGCAGCTCCTCCATCAACTTCTAGCACAGGCGGTCCCAGCCAACCCACTCCCCCTTCACCACCATGCCAGGTCCCCCACATCCACCCACTCACATGCACTCCTTGTTTGGCTCATTCTATACAAACATGTGTACTCATGTATGCACATATACAAACATACACACACAGCCTTCTAATTTTCTTTTTTCTTTTTTTTTTAGAGAGATTTTTGCTATAAGGGAGTGTGTGCTCACCAGAAAGACGGAAACAGAGACAGAAAGTGAGAAATCACTCCCCCCAGCCCCAGGGGGGAATGGCCATGCCACAATCCCTTCTCCCAGGATCTTGGGCATGTACATACACGTGCCCAGCTGAGTTTAAGCCACCAGGTCCGGAACTTGAACCGTGGTCGACTACATGGGAATCCAGCGACATAGCCATTACACCAACTGCTGGTCCCACCTTCTAGTTTTCTATCTATGAACCAGAAAGGGGGCCCTCATCAGACACTGACTGCCAGCATCTTGATCTTGGACTTCCCAGCCTCCAGAACTGTGAGGGACATCTCTGCTGCTCTAAACCAGACAGCCTGTGGTGTTCTGTTACATCAGCACGCATGGACTAAGACAGCACCTGGCTTCCTCCATCTTGCCAGCTTGGCCCAGTGAGAACTAGTGGTGCCTCTTCTGGGTCCCTCCTTGCTGACCTCAATTCCAAACTCAGCCTCCTGGAGGAGCAGACTCATGCCTGCACCTGTGTCACCCCTCAGTAGGGTCTTCTATCACACACACTCCCTTTCTCTCTCTTTCTCTGCCCAAAGGAGAAAGAAAACAGGAGTGCTGACCGAGGCCCATGGCACATGGAGGCTGTGGATTTCCCAAGGTGCTGTTCCCAGCCTCAAGAGGCAGCTGCAGCAGCAAAACAAACCCCCTCACCTAGCACCTGAGGGCTGGCTTCTTCCACTGGCCAGCCTTCAGAGAAAATGTCAAGTCCTGCAGGGCTCAGGGTAGGGAGCAGGAGAGGACAAGCTGAACGTCCTACAGAAGTCCTAAGGTTCTGACACCCACCGCCCACAGCGATGCCCCATCACAGGCAGTCATAAAAGGATCTGTTGGGAATCAGCAGTTAGCGTAATGGCTATGTCACTGGACTCCCATATAGTCAACTGCAGTTCGCACCCGGACCTGGTGGCTTGAAACTCACGCCGGGCGCGTGTGCATGCGTGCCCATCCCCTCCGGGGGGTGATTTCTCACTTTCTGTCTCTATGTCTCTCTGTCTGTCTAAGAGCACACACGCCCTATAGCGAAAAAAACCTCTCCAAAAAAAAAAAAAAAGGATCTGTTAGGCTTCACAGCCAGGAAGCAGCCAGAGTGCAGAGAGCCACAGGGCTTACCCATGGCCTGGGTGTTGGTCAGGGCAGGGATGGAACAAACCCAGGGCTATCTGGCACCCACGTATCAGCTCTTCACCATCACCATAAACTGCCATCCCATGTGGGCATAGAAAGCTTCTGATCAGAACTGAGCCACCAGTGGGCTCCTAAGATGTAACCTATGGGGGCCAGCAGGTGGTGTGGAAGTTAAGGCACTGGACTTCCACATGGCTGACTGTGGTTGGAGTCCTGGACCTGGCGGCTTGCTTTCTTGCTTTGCGTCTCTCTTTTACTGTCTCTGGTCAAATGAAAAAACAGTAATAATAATGATAAAATTAAATAAAATAATTTTTAAGAACCATTTTTAAATTTTACTTATTATTATTATTTTTTAATTTGCTATAGGGCACACACACCAGAGAGAGAGAAAGACAGACACAGAGAGAGAATGAGAAAGCAAGCCACCAGGTCTGGGATTCTATGTGGGAGTCTAACGCCTTAACTACCACGCCACCTGCTGACCCCAATAAAAATAATTATTTAAAAAAATAATAACACCAGGGCCCGCAGATGGTATGGTGGCTAAGGGTGCTAGATTCTCACATGGTCAACTGTGACTCAAGTCCCAGATCTGGAGGCTTACTTTCTCACTTTCTCTCTCTCTCTGTCCCTCTCTGGTCAAATTTAAATGAATAAATAAATAAAGTTAAATAAAATAATACTTTAACAAACAAACAAACAAACAAACTTTTAAAAAATGTTTAGAAGATGTAGCCTATGAGGGCCCAGGGCTGACGAGGGATTCTGGAATGGCGGGGGCCGTGGTAAGGGGGAGGTGGTACTCTGTCCGCTGGCTTGCAGTTCACCTCTGATGAGCTCCCATCCCTCATCGCAGAGGCCAGAACCAAGTATAGCCTCAAGGAGTCCCATCCAGGCCTGATAGGGCTGAAACTTCCAGAAACTCCCAAGGTCAGGTGACCAAGAGAAAGAAAGACTCTGGGGCCTGGGCTCATGCAAATGCCTTTCCTGATCCAACCCTGGTACAGCTCCCTCAGGGTCCAGAATCTTCTGTGGACTGCAGCCCAAGATGGGTGAGGCTCTTACCCCATTCTGACTGTTACAGTGCCGGGTGCTGATGATGGCTCCCGCCTCCTCGATCATTTTCAGGATGGTTCCTCCATGCACGTTGCCAGCCACGTTGGCGTCATCTGGCCGCATAATCCTAGGACAGAGGACAGAGAAGCTGCAGGATGAGGCTTGGACAGGATGCCACTTGTTCCAAGGGAAGCTGTTCCCAAAGGGCTCGATGCTCCCAGGGGAAGGGAAAAGAACTTCCTGCTCATTTGGGCTCTTCCTCCTAGGCAGTGCCTCATTAGGGCAGGAGCTACTGGGCACCCCACGGAAGGGGCTCTATGGTCCTATTTCCATGGATCAGAGGGAGGACGACTTTCTGACCCTAGAGCCACAGGCACCAGCCTGCCCACGAGACCTCTGCCCTGACCAGGAAGGGCAACATTGCAGGGCCTAGAGACGGCCGCTCAGCTGAGGGGCTCCCAGCGCAACATCCCTACTGGTTCCCGGCTAGCATATGCCAAGCTCCCCAAAAGCCAACTGAAATGCGTGAGCACAGAACACAGACTGTGACCCGAGGCAAAGTCCTGGGACCCTCAGCCCCACTCAGAGGTACCGGGCGACTGCACAGGTGTACTTGTTATGAGAACTACAAAAAACAAGCCACAGCTTTAAGACCTCAGGGCCCCCTAGCAGATGAGTGCTAGCTCCCGACTGACTGCACACCAGCATGGCTAGCTCCTCAGGGACTCCCTGAGGGATCCCCACCTTACTTTCTCAAAGCGAAAATCCTTCATCCTTGCTGGCAGCCAGCAGTGCGGAAGCTCCACGAAATCTCTGAAATCGCAACAAGCTGGTGTGGCGTGCCTACCATGGGAACCCCAGCAGAGCCTGGCACCTTCCCAGACAACCGCTTGGTTCATGGAATTGCATCCACAGGCCTCAGGCCTGAAGACAGGTGGCAGGCAGCAGGCACACACCTGTGGTTCTAGCACGTACTGTGGCTCGCCCCCCTGCTCAGCTCAGGCCCTGCTGTCCAGCGTGGGGCCTCAAGACCAGCCCCCCTCTGGGTCTGGCGTCTCTTTCAGCTCCTTTAGCAGCTCCAAGGCTGAGCAAGTCACACTTAGACCATTTCTGGCTCTGGCTCTTACTAGCTGGGTGACCTGGGCAAGCTGCCAAAACTCTCATTTCTCTATTTCCTTCCCTATGAAATAGGCGTAATAATAATCCCACCTTATTTGACTGTGGAGAAGGCTAAATTACATGAGATAAGTGAACCCCAGATAACAATCACTCAGCGACAATGCCTGGCACATGATAGGTAACCAATAGTACTTTTCTCTCTTCTGTAAGTGTCAGGTTGTCGGGAAAGCCATGATGTAGTTTTCTGGTTTTCTATGCAGAAGTGCATCATGACTTTCCCAACAGCCCAGTATTTAGGGAACATGGTTGGAAGCGCCAAGAAAGACAGCGATGCCATTTCCTAGAAAAAACAAACACTGGCATCCTCAAGTGCCTGACAGCTGTCTGCACCTGCCCTTCTCCGCTCCGCCAACATCACCCCTTCGCCTGGGTGAAATTCAGCTACAAGAACCAGGGCCCACACTGACCTACTGGCTCCTGCCCCAGCATCGGACAGGACCATGGTTCCCCACGGGGCAGCTCACTACAGCCCACAGTGACCACAGGAGCAGCTGGTGTGATGTGACCTGCACAAAGCACGAACGACGCTTCATTTGGCCTCTCAAACATGCATCTAAAACTATTTCAGTGGGGATCCAGCAGGTGGTGAGGTGGTTAAGGGCGCTAGACTTCCACATGGCCAACTATGGTTCAAGTCCCCTACCTGGCGGCTTACTTTGCTTTCTCATTTTCTTTTCTTTTTTTTTCTCTCTCTCTCTCTCTCTCTCACTCTGTCCTGCTCTGGTCAAGTTAAATAAATAAATAAAGTTAAATAAAATAATTCTTTAAAAAATATAAAACAATTTCAGTGGACGCCGATACAGCAGTTCACACAACACTCTGCTCTGCAGGCTGACCTACAGGGAAGGTTCCAGGCTTGCATCCAGAGACCCCCTCCTCAAGCATGTCAGGCACATGTGTGTCTGTGATCATGAGCTGGCTGAAGCGAGGGTGAGCAGTGGCGTCAGGGTCCTGCTGGGGATGCCTGTCTCTGTATCTCTCTGTCTCTTTCTCTCTCTCTCATAGAGAAAATAAACTTTAAATACATAATTTAGGGGCCAGCAGATGGCATAGTGGTTACGTCACTGGACTCCCACATAGTCAACTGTAGATCAAGTCCCAGACCTGGTAGCTTGAAACTCACACCAGACATGTGTGCATGCGTGTCCAAGATCCCAGAAAGAGGATAAGAGAGGGGATTATGGCATGGTCATCCCCTGGGGGGTGATTTCTCGCTTTCCCTCTGTCTCTGTCTATCTCACCTCAGGGAGCGCAAGCACCCTAAGGCAAAAACCTCTAAGAAATATATAAATTATATGTGTGTGTGTGTCTATGTTTGCATATATAATTTAATGGGTTTTTAAAAACATTTCTTTCTTTCTTTATTTGTTGTTATTTTTGGGCAGCTGGGTCTGGGACTTGAACTGCGTCAGTCATGTGAGAGTCCAGCACCTCAACCACCGCCGCCCCACTGGCCAGGTCCAATTTAATGTTTGTTTGTTCCGTTTTTTAAAATGCTTACGCTCACCGGAGACAGAAAGAAAGGAAACGTGAGAAAGCATCCTCCCGACAGGGACGGCCATGCTGTAATCACTTCTGCTCCATTTCCCCTCTCAGGATTTTGAGCACGCACACATGTGCCCAGCATGTGTTTTCAGACACTGGGTCCAGGACTTAACCGTGCAGTCAGCCATGCAGGATCCAGCGGTGTTAACTACCTCTCCCGGCTAGCCCATAATTTAAAAACTGAGCTTACACTATGAAGTTTTAAGTTTGAGTTAAGAGGTGGCCAATTGTAAATCGCATTGACCTCTTTCCTTGGGAAGGGCCTTCCACGCACTGGCTGCATGCAGTGAGTGGACGGTGCATTTCACGTGGGGCCTGTCCTCCTGCCAGTATAGGAGAAGGCTGTGGCAAGGGCAGGGAAGAGCCAGCCCAGCTCTGGGTTCCAGAGAGCTGAGGAAACATCAGTCCAGCCTTTCCTAGAAGAGACAGATCCTGCTTCTGGGCCAGCCAGATTGACCTCTGTAAGCCTCGCCTTGCCGATGTGTAAAGAGGAGCTGAACACGCCAGGCTGGCCCACAGTGACACAGCAAGGCCAGAGAGGAAGCACAGACAACCGCAGGGCGGAGGAGGAAGTACATCCGGCTGGCAAAGAGGAAGGGAAAGATAAGGAGGTAGCCTTTGAGATCGGAGGCTGGGGACAGTGCAGCAGGGCCTGGAGCCACCGTGCAGCCCTGAGGGTTTACTGAGGGACCGGCTGCCCACCCCAAAGATCCTGCACCATCACATCCTGTGTTCACCCCAAGGATCCCCCACTTGGCACTGTCCCAGTGGGGTAAATGCCAGGAACGCCAGACTGCATGCTGGCCAGTTCCCACCCAGCCTGGTCACCTTCCCTCTGTACCCTGGGTCCAGCACCAAGGGCCATCCAACTCCCAGGCCAACTGGCCACCAAGGAACACAGCCATATTCTCAGTCCTTGCACAAACCACTTCCCCTAAGGACCTTATTCCTGCCTGAAAATCTGCTGTCACCTCCAAAGCAACAAACCCAAGGCCAACTCACTCACTTCTTCCCTTGGCCCCCAAATCTTCCCTCACCCCAGGGCCAAGCTGCTGCTTCCAGCATTTGTCCTCCATTCTTCTCCCTTCTTCCCTCCCTGCTTTCTTCTTTCTTTCCAAAAGGCTCAAGAACTGCTGGGCGAGGCCAAGCAGAGCCTCTAGGTCCCCTAATTGCCCAGGCACTGTCAGAACCCTTCCTCCTCGGCTCGCTTTCCCAGACCCGTTCCTTACCCCCACCGCCGGTTAAGGCCAAGTACGTCTATTTCAGGCCAGGGCCGTGAAACGCTTTCATCTCCAGGCAGGCAGGTGTGTGAGAAACGAGAGGAACCAGGAGAATACACAGCCCCTTGCGCAAGATTCTGTTCTCCCGTATTTAAGACAAACACGGGCAGGCTAAGTGTTCCATGTTTCTCTTTACATTAAAAGAGAGAAAAAGAAATCGCAGCAGAGCCGGCACAACGCCAGGGAGGTCACAGGGCAGTGAACCTCGGGACGCTGAAGTACATGTGGGTTGGAGGGAATGGCAGCTCCTCTGCTAGCTGTGTGGCCTGCAGGGATATGAACCCAGGACGCCAAAGCCTCTGGATTGCCCAGAAGAACTGGAGACCCAGAGTCCCAGTATCTGAAAAGCAGTGCCTAACTGAAACTCAGCCTGCTCAGCAGAGCAGATGGATAGCACAGGCCTGACCGGGTCCTGGGTGACTGTATGAGAGTCTGGCCCACTGTCTCCCCCTCTTCTGTACACTCCCTGCCCATGACATTATGCACTTTCCCCTCCCTGGACCCCAGAAACTTCAGGGAAATGTGCAAGTCAGCCTAGGAGAGGCCTCACCACGTGGCTGAGCCCTGAGCCTCCTCCTGAGGCCCTCCACTCCCAGCTGAGCAGTGGCCAGGGTCTGCTGACTCCATGCCCAGAATGTCACTGACACCACAGCCCCTGCTCTTTAATTGTTCCAGCTGCTCCTGCCCCAGCTCGGGCCCACACTTGTCCAGCCGGCACAGAATGTACAGGCCAGTGTGGAGTGGACACTACCCCCACCCTCAGCCAGCATCCCTGCTGCAGTGGGGGGCTGGTCAATCACAAGGGTTCTGAGGCCCAGCAAACATGGGCCAAGGAGCCACCCCCACAGGGGCCGCCACCACCACCTGGTCTCTGGGAAAACTTCCAGAGGAAGTGACACACCTCAGCCAAGTCCTGGAGGGTGAGCTGGGGACAGAGGTCAAGGGAATGTTCCAAGGAGAAGGAGCATCTCTCGGGGGCCACCAGTGCAGGAGCACTCAGCATGTTCCGGAAACTGAAAACAAGCCCACAGAGCTGGCACATGGCCAGTCAGGGGGTGAGGAAAAGACAGGCTAGAGGACAGAAATGCAAGCTTGTCACGCAAGGAGGAGGAGCCTAGGGAGA